CCCACTTAAAAACATGAGAGGACTGTAATTTTCATCATAGATTTTTAAAGAATTTATTTGCAAATTATGGTGGAAAATAAGTATTTGGTCAACTACAAAAGTTCATCTCAATACTTTGTTATATACCCTTTGTTGGCAATGACAGGGGTCAAACGTTTTCTGTAAATCTTTTCTCATTTTGTCTCTCATAGTTGAGATATACCTATGATGAAAATTACAAGCCTCTCTTGCACAATTGGTGGCTGACTAAATACTCTTTTGCCCCACTGTATATTATAAACAAACAACAGATAACTTATTATTTACTCAGCCCTTTGGAGATTAAGAGAAGCTTTTTCTCAGACAGTTCAATGCGTGGTTTGATCAGGTCCTCCATGGTCACTGCAGCCATTGCGTTGATTGAAGTAGAAACTGTGCTGAACATGAACAAATGAACCATGTTTACTTTGGAGTAATGGACATTACTGACACTTCAAGTGTGGCACAACTTTAAATGTTACAGGCATCATTCATCAGATGATTAAAAATATAACAAATTATGTTGTATGAACCTCAGAGAGGCACTATATACTGCAGCTAAAAATAGTCCTGGAAGACCTTGGTGATCTGCCAAGATATCCATCACCAAATAAGGCAACAGCTGTAAAGGGACAAAAAAACTTTATTGAAAGATCACAAAAAACACTTGAATAAAAACAGTGGTACTGTTGGTACATCCTTCGTTTTCTTTGTTTATGTGTATGTACCTGATCAGGTGATGAAACTTGTCCAGCTTTCCATGGGTCACAATTCTTATAGAACGAATAAAGGCACAGCCCTGAAATCACTGACGATGTCAGGGTGCAAACTAGGCCTAACAGGTTGATGAACAGAGCTCTGAAAAAACACAACACGAAAAAGTGAAGTATGCATACAAAAATCAGTGTAGCATAGCAAACGAGACTATATTTCCTATCACTGTATGCTGATGATGTCATCATTTATCATAGCTATCTTTTCCGAGTTTATGATAAGAACGTGTTATTTGCCAGCAAATCCCACCAATGTAGTGCCTTTGGCTGAATCAGAATTTACATAGATGTGGAAATAGACGTGTTGTGGAGGTATGTAATAA